GTGGCGGAGGGGAGGTGGGCGAAGGCGGAGAGGAAATGGGCGGGGGAGGCGGAGGCGAGGTGGGCGGAGGTGGAGGCGAGGTGGGCGCCGGGCGGAGAAGAGGTGGGCGGAGGCGGAGAGGAGATGGTGGGCGGAGGCCGAGAGGAGATGGTGGGCGGTGGTGGACGGGAGATGGCTGGAGGAGGCGGAAGGGAGGTGGGCGGAGGCGGAAGGTGGGAGCTGGTGGCGGAGTCGAGGTGGGCAGGAGGGAGGGCCCGTTGGACTTCAGTGTAGGGAAAGCACCGCCCTGCAACGGGCCACAGCGCCGCCCTGAAGCAGGCCCTGTTTCCAACGGGCGCACCAATCTGGGCTGCCCATGGTCCTACCGGCCCGACAGTCCGGATTTCGACATGATGTTAAGACTTCAAGATCGCGCGGCGATCCAGGCCGTCCGGCAAAGCGGACGGTCTGGATCGCCGCACGATCTTAGACTTAAAGTCTTAAAGTCTTAAGATCGCGCGGAAATCCGGGACGTCGGCCAGTAGGCCGCGGGCGGCTCGGATCGGCCAAATGTTCCGCGCCAAATAGCGATTTCTATAAGTGTAGGGATTGTCAAGTCAAGTCCGATCTTTGGGTGGCCAGTGGACCAATCAACTAGTCCGATATTCAGGGAGCGTGTAGGCCAGTGAGCAAACTTGTTTTCTGGAGAGCTGTCGAATTATCGGGGCACAATCTGATCAGAGATCCAATGGACCATTTCATATATCTAATTTTCAGAGATTAAAAAAAAAAAAAACTTTTTTTTCTCCCGCTTGCTTTTTCCCTCTGCGTCTCAGTGTGTGTGTATGCATGTGTGCGGTGCATATACATACAAGCGTTGTTGCAAATGTATCTGATCTCTATTGGAGCAAGATGCGGAGTGTTCTTCACCCTCTCTCACTCACCCGCTCTCACAGGCTCATGCTCCTACACACGTTTTCCCCCAATGCTGCTGGAGATTCGGTAAAGGCTCATCGAAACTTTCTGGCACAGTCCACTTCTCTCTGTAGAATCTTGTATAGTGAACGTGACAGCGCATAGGCGCGCGGACTTTGCTACACCCTCTCTTTCCCCCCTCTTTCACACTCTGAGCACTCTCTCTCTGCACTCTCTCTCTCTCTCTCTCTCTCTCTCTCTCTCTCTCTCTCTCTCTCTCTCTCTCTCTCTCTCTCTCTCTCTCGAGCGCGCTGCACAGTCTGTTTCCCTCACTCTCTCTGCGCAGTCAGTCCCTCTCACTCTCTCTGCGCAGTCAGTCTCTCTCTCTCTCTCTCTTACTCACCTCCTTCTCCACAGATTTGGGGGAGGGAGGCTCCATCTCACTGCAGCTCACACGCACGCCATGACTGTAGCCCGCTTGCTCACGCGACCAGGCACCATCCAACACCAGTCCTTCCACTCTCTGCGTACCTTTGGTACATGGTGCCCTTGAATGACAGGCTCTCGAACGCCGAATGTCCAACCATAGCCATGACAGTAGTGACGCCCATTTGCTCACTGGCACGAAGAGTGACGGATGGGAACCACTGCGCTGCGTACCTCTGGTCCGCTGTCCCCTCCGTGGTCTGCGGACACCTGGTGCCTTTCCCTCGTAGGTTTCCCATTCCGAATGAATCCCATTTTCTATAACCCCGCCTATATCTCGATAGCGAATGCATGAACAGTCACAAGGTGGGTCATTCTCGGGAGCTGCGGACTTCTGATCCGCTGTCGAAATAGCCATGGACTCCTGGTACGTGGTACCCCGAATGCCAAAAATCCCCCCAAATTGTTGTGTCCCAGGCTATATCCTATCAGGACAGGCCTGCACAGCCTCCTTTGTGAAACGGTAATCACCAGTTCACCGTAGCGGATGCAGATCCCAGGGCTCGATCCCTAGTTCCCTGGCTACCTGTGTACAGTATTGATGTCGATCCGTAGACTTGAACCCGCGACCTGTAGGATCGCCAGTGGTAGGCAGGGTTTCGTAGGTCACAGCTTAGAAAGGAATCGAACTGTAGACCTGTAGGGTAGGAGTCTAGACAGTTCCGAAGTTGTAGCTGCTACTTACCTGAAAGGGCAAAGTCGTGGCTGCTACAGTACCGAAAGGCCAAGTTCGAGACTTCTAGAAGTGGCCTTTCGGAGTTGGCCTGTGTTCAGCAGAGGCAAGTGGTCAAGTGGTGGTAGTCCACCTAGCCCAGTCACCAGTCCCAGTTAGTCAGTCCGGTCCTGTTCAGCAAGTACCGTCTGGGACTGTGTGCACATCGTGGGCCAAGGGATACAGGACAGACCAACGCAGCGCAGAAGTATAAATCAAGAGGCTGCGTCCAGCCATTGCATTCATTCAGGCGGAAGCCATGCGGTAGCGCTGCCACAGCGTCTAGTGCAAGGAGGTCTGCTGGGCCCAAAGACGAAGGGGGCCGGAGTGAAGCACTGTAGTCATAGTGATAGGTAGCGGCAGCCATAGCTGCCATAGCTCAGTGTAGAGTGCAGAGTGTGTGTACTGTGTGTGTGTGTTGGGTATGAACATTGAGTGTG